TCAGCAAGTCCGAGGCAGTAACCGGGGCTCCTTACATTGGGTGAGTCAAATCACACTCCCCGCAGGAAAGGAGCCTAAAAGCTAGAATAGCAATAATAAAGAAACAAGGCCAGGTGCAGTGGCTCATGCCTGTAATCCCAGCATTTTGGGAGGCTGAGGCAGGTAGATTGCTTGAACTCATGAGTTCAAGACCAGCCTGGGCAGCATGGCAAAATCCCATCTCTGCAAAAAATACAAAAATTAGCCGGGCGTGGTGGCGTGCCCCCTGTAGTCCCAGCTGCTTGAGGGACTGAGGTGGGAGGATCACTTGAGCCCAGGAGATCAAGGCTGCAGTGAGCTGTGATCGTGCCACTGCACTCCAGCCTGGGTAACAGAGCCAGACCCTATCTCAAAAATAAATAAATAAATGAAAAATAAACAATTCCACTTTTTGTAATAATAACAATAATAAAGAAACAAGCTCAAATCCATGGGTATCAGCACACTGGTGACACGTGTCAGCACAAGTATGCATTAGCTTTGTAATCATTATAATAACACACAATTGCTTTGTCTATTTGTTAAGGTATTTACAACAATCGCAAACATCTGACATTAGATTTGTGAACGCTTTAAGCGATGGCCTTTGGAAGGAATGTTGAAATAATTAGGGAAGTCTGGTTTGGAGGAAGATTTAGAGGAACAACTGTTTAATGATTTTATCAAAGAACAAAGATTAGTTAGTACTCTTGTCCTTACATACGCAAGCCCCTGGATGTCAGATAATTGAGCAGCATGAAGAAATGGCTACTTATGGCCGGGCATGGTGGCTCACGCCTGTAATCCCAGCACTTTGGGAGGCCAAGATAGGACGATCACCTGAGGTCAGGAGTTCGAGACCAGCCTGGCCAACATAGCCAAATCCCCTGTCTACTAAACATACAAAAATTAGCCGGGCGTGGTGGCACGTTCCTGTAATCCCAGCTACTCAGGAGGCTGAGGCACAAGAATCGCTTGAGCCCGGGAGGCAGAGATTTCACTGAGCCAAGATCCAGTCACTGCACTGTAGCCTGGACAACAGAGCAAGACTCTGTCTCAAAAATAATAAGAAACAATAAAATTAATTAATTAAAATAAAATAAGGAAGCTCCCTATGTAGTGATATGGAAAGAGCATCAAAATGTATTAAATGGCCGGGTGTGATGGCACACACCTATAATCCCAGCACTTTGGGAGGTTGAAGCAGAAGGATCTCTTGGACCCAGAAATTCGAGACCAGCCTGGGCAACAGGGCAAAACCCCATCTCTACAAAAAATACAGTGCTATGGTCCCAGCTACTCAGGTGGCTGAGGCAGGAAAATTGCTTGAACTGGGAGGTCAAGGCTGCAGTGAGCTGAGATCACACTACTGCACTCTAGCCTGGGTGGCAGAGCGAGACCGTGTCTCAAAGAAAAAAAAAAAAAAAAGGCAGAGAAGATGGGCTCAGATGACAGTCTGTCTGTCTGAGCCTCCTGTGCCCTCTTCTCACCCTTCTCCCCAGTGAACAGGCCACCCAACATTCATGTGTAGGAAAAACAAGAACTGAAGGGTGGTTCCCTAAAGAGATCCAACTCTGACAGCTTGAGGTGGTAACTACAGCAGATGCTGGCATCTGAGATGGAAAAAAAAAACAAAAACAAAAAAAAGCAGCCAGTCCTACCCTGGCACTTGGGGCAGAGGGGAGGGGAAGCTGGAAGTGGGGTTCTTGGACACTTCTCTGCCCACAAGTGAGACCAGCCTGTCATCAAGCCCCCCAGCCCGAGACACAAAGCTCCATTCATGCTCTAATGCAGGCCCGAGATGGCGGGAAAATTGTCTGATATTTAGAATAGGAAGGGCACCCCTATCACCTACAAACACCAGCTTGTCCCTTGTTTGGGAAAGTCAAGAGACAAGCAAGTCTGACCAAATAGGAAGAGAAAAATCAGCACCCAGCAATGGAACCCAAAGTCAACAGCTAATTCAGGACCCAATCAAGGTGCAACTACTGTACTTGGTTGTGAAGATCTCTTTGGTCTCTTTTGTGATTATTCATACACTGACTTTTTGAAAAGTCCTGGCCAGTTATCTTGGGGATAGCCCCCATTCTCAATGCATGATGATTTGCCTTTTTGTTCCTTTGTTTGTTTTTGTTTTTGAAACAGGGTCTTGCTCTGTTGCCCAGGCTGGAGTGCAGTGGTGCAATCATAGCTCAGTGTAACCTCGACCTCCTGGGCTCGAGCAATTCTCCCATGTCAGCCTCACAAGTATTAATAGCTGGGACTATAGGTGTGTACCACCACACGTGGCTAGTTTTTTTTTTTTTTTTTTAGAAATAGGGACTCGCTATGTGACCCAGGCTGGTCTCAAGCTCCTGGGATCAAGTGATCCTCCCGCTTCAACCTCCCAAAGTGCTGGCATTACAAGCATGAGTCACCAGGTCCGGCCTATTTCCTCATTATTAAATTTAGGTTCAAAGTTTAGGTCAGGCCAGGTGAGGTGGCTCACACCTGTAATCCCAGGACTTTAGGAGGCCAAGGCAGGTGGATCACCCAAGGTCAGGAGTTTGAGACCAGCCAAACCAACATGGCTAAACCCCATCTCTATTAAAAATACAAAAAGTTAGCCAGGCGTGGTGGTGTGCACCTGTAATCTCAGCTACTTAAGAGGCTGAGGCAGGAGAATCTTTTGAAACTGGGAGGCAGAGGTTGCAGTGAGCTGAGATCATGCCACTGCACTCCAGCCTAGGCTATAGATTGGGACTCCATCTCAAAAAACAAAATTAGGCCTAACACTTTTTTAAAATAAGAATTGCATATAGAACCTGGGCAGCTTGGTGAAACCCCATCTCTCCAAAAAGTACAAAAACTTGCCAGATGGGGTGGTGCCCACCTGTAGTTTCAGCTACTAGGGAGGCTGAGGTGGGAGGATCACTTGAGCCTGGGAGGTCGAGGATGCAGTGAGCTGTGATTACAGTAATGCACTCTAGCCTGGGTGTCAGAGAGATACTCTGTCTCAAAAAAAAAAAAAAAAAAAAAATTTATGTAGGCAATTTTGTGTCACATCATGAGACACTGACATCACAATGTCCCATTATTGGGATACTGTTCTATCACTCGGTTAAGAAGTTGCTTTCAGCTGGGCACAGGCACGGTGGCTCACGCCTGTAATCCCAGCACTTTGGGAGGCCGAGGTGGGCAGATCACAAGGTCAGGAGATCAAGACCATCCTGGCTAACACGGTGAAACGCTGTCTCCACAAAAATACAAAAAATTAGCCAGGCGTGGTGGCGGGTGCCTGTAGTCCCAGCTACTCGGGAAACTGAGGCAGGAGAATCACTTGAACCCGGGAGGTGGAGCTTGCAGTGAGCCAAGATTGTGCCACTGCACTCCAGCCTAGGTGACAGAGCAAGACTCCGTCTCAAAAAAAAAAAGGAAGAAGTTGCTTTCCAGAGTTCCCCCACCCCACTGAATAGGTACATTTTTTCCCCCTTTGTAATGAATAAGGCGTCTCTTGGGTGATAGTTTTGGACTACTCCCCAGCAATCTCTTACCAATCCTTTCACATCCTTTGATTATCCAAATTATTTAACTTCAGACCCCCTGTGCTTCTTCTAATTTATCTGTAATAAACAGATACTATCTGTAAAAGTAAATTGTTTCGTGCCTGTAAAAGTATGTAGGCTGCATCACAGCAGTCGCTTAATAACAGTATTGATTTTAAAAATCATCCCAGCGCCAGGGCTAAAATCTCTTATCTGCAAACCTACGGTTTCTTGATAAATTAGGCCCCCAACTCTTCAAATAGTGAGACCTGCCTGCACCCACATTAGGCTATTTATACCGTCTCTTCACTGAGTGCGTATTTCTCTCCACACAGCTTTTATTTTTTATTTATTGATTTATTTATTTATTTTTGAGACAGAGTCTTGCTCTGTCACCCAGGCTGGATGCAGTGACACAAGATCTCAGCTCACCACAACCTCTGACTCCCAGGTTCAAGCAATTCTGCCTCAGCCTCCTGAGTAGCTGGGACCACAGGCGCGCACCACATACCTGGCTAATTTTTGTATTTTTAGTAGAGACAGTGTTTCACCATGTTGGCCAGGCTGGTCTCAAACTCCTGACCTCGAGTGACTCATCAACCTCGGCCTCCCAAAGTGCTGGGATTACAGGTGTGAGCCACTGCTCCCGGCCTCCACACAGACGTTGAAGCAGAAATATCATGCACTTTGGAGTACTGCCCCCAACCCGGGGGGATATTGCAGAACTCTGTATGGATATCTGAACTGTATTTTAAAATCCAGGCCTGGCTCATGCCTGGAATCCCAGCTACTCAGGAGTCTGAGGCAGGACGATCCCTTGAACCTAGGAATTCAGAGTTGCAGTGAGTTACGTTCGAGCCACTGCACTCCAGCCTGGGTGACTGAGCGAGACCCTGTCTCAAAAAAACTAGATAAATAAAAAATAAATAAAATAAGACCGGGCGTGGTGGTTCACGCCTGTAATCCCAGCAATTTGGGAGGTCGAGGCGGGTGGATCACCTGAGGTCAGGAGTTCGAGACCAGCCTGGCCAACATGGCGAAACCCCATCTCTTCTAAAAAATACAAAAATTAGCTGGGCGTGGTGGTGGGCACCTGTAATCACAGCTACTCGGGAGGCTGAGGCAGGAGAATTGCTTGAACCCGAGAGGCGAAGATTGCAATGAGCCGAGATCGAGCCACTGCACTCCAGCATGGGCAAAAGAGCGAGATTCCGTCTCAAAAAAATAAAATAAAATAAATAAAACCCCCAACATCCGGAATGCAAAACGAACTAGGCCTACGCCTTTCACATAAGAAACTGCGTGTGGATCTGTGCTAAAAACTCTACCAATAATACAGTAATTTTACAACTCACGGCAGAAAATGCTTTCAAAGGCGGTTGGTACAAATAATACAATAGTAGTCAAATTAGCGTTGGCTCTGAGCCCAGCACTGTGCTCCGCGCTGCACATGCAGAGTCTCACGCCGTCCTCACGATGGCGCTGTGGGGCCTGGCTGAGGTTTCTAGGGGAAGGGGCCTTGGCTAGAAACCTCAGGGGCCTTTCCAGGCTCTCTGGCTGTGTGACCCCTCCAAGCTAGCGACTTGGACTACGTGCAATAGACCAGATATCTCTGGACTTCAGTTTCTCAGGAGAGGCGTCCATGAGGAGGTCATGCATGTAAAGCATGTAGCACAGTGGCAGATACGAGCCAGTGGGTCTGGAGAATGATTTACCAGCGTGGGCAAGGCCTGGCTTCCAGAAAACTAGCTCTGGGGTGTCTGAGATCAGTCACCTTGAGGTCCCTGCTGCAATCTAGGGCCATCAGAAGGGACTGCAAAGACCCAAGGGCAGAGGTAAAGGGAGAAAATGGGTGGTGGCCCCAGCCGGATTAATTCAGTTGTCTATAACTGGTGGGGATGGGGAGGACGGGGGAGTCCTAAGGTGGGAGGGTGCAGGTTTGTCATTGCCACAGAAAGTGTGTGTGCTGAAGGGAGTTAATTTAAGATCAGGCCTGGGCTGTGAGAATCTAGCCCTGGGAAGCAACGTAAATACAAGAAAATCCCTGTGACCAGGGACTTTGATCCAAGTGTTTCGAATCAGGCCCTGGGTCGGGATCACAGCTAAGCGGTTTACCAACCGTGGACCTGGGCAGGATCCCATACATGTGAGGGGTGGAGACGGCCGCAAGCAGGCCAGAACCAGAAGGAAACGGAATTTGAATGGGGGTGGGGAGCTAGGACCAGTCCCTCCGCGGCAACTGGGCCTCCCGCTTGCCGCACGCAGCCCTCCCAGCTCCCCGGCCCGCCCTCGCTCCCGCCCGGCCCAGCCGCCGGAGGAGGGGCGGCCTCCCGCACCCGCCCGCGGGATCTCAGAGTCACCGCCCCCGGCGCCGGGCTGCAGCCGCCACGCCCCGGGAGAGGACCGACTGCCTAGACCGCGGGTCCCGGGGCTCCCTAGGCCACGCCGATCACGGGAGGCCCCCGACTGCCTCCCAGAGCAAAGGGAGAAAAGGAGCTTAGCCCTCCGCTGCAGCCTCCGAGCAGCCCGCCAGGTGAGCGCCGGGACAGGTAGGGGACCCGGGTCGGGACCCAAACGTCAGTCCGATTCTCGCCCACAGCTGGGGCGCCCCGGGAAGGATTCCCGCGCCAGGCCCTACCCGGAGGGGCGGGTCCCTGAGAGTCCCATAACCCGCAGCGTCCCTTCCCCGGGCCCTCCCTCGGCCCGAGGCTCCTTTAAACCCAAAGTTATACAGATGCACGTTAGAAAGTCCCAAATCTGGAAGGGCTTTGCTTTGAACGTGGGTGTTCGAACGCCCAGGCCTCTCCACCCCTGGCGCGCGTCCGCGGAGGCTACCATCTAAAACCCCTGCCAAATGCTGCAAACCAGCACGTGGGCACAACAGCCCGGGGAAGGCCTGGCCGCTTTTTACCGTTGCTTGATTTTCTGTCTTCTGGCCGTCAGTCCCTTCGCAGAATCTGTGAATCAGAAGCCTCGGAGGGCGGTTTCTTGATTTAGCTACTTGGGCACATTATGTGTTTCGCTATGGCCCCAACTCTCAATTTAAATTTTGTTCTGCCAAGTTACTTTTGCAATGTTCAGCGGTATGTTCTAAAGCTCTGTATGCTGTCTCTTCGACTTTAGACAGCGTCTATTTACTCCATATTTTGAAAGACAAATATTACAGGAGTCTAGTTGTAAAATAAATAATACTTCTTTAAAAATGTTCCAGTAATACACGACACTCAGACACGTAGGACAGGACAGAGCTTTGCATGGAAAACAACCCGCCTTTAAACAACAGCCTCTCCCTCACCACCGCCCCCAACCCCTGTCGGCCAGATACATTTTTTTGTAACTACATTGCTTTTCAAAAATGGCAAAAAGTAACTCGTGATCGCTGGTGCCTTGTTTTTAACGTTTTCCACCTTTTATTTCTTTGGTATCTATTTCCAAATCTTTAAAGCAGATTTTTGGATTGTTATTTCTTATTTCATCAACTTTTAGACGACGCGTCCATGGATCCCTTGCTAAAAATAGCAGACAACTTTAATCATCTCCATGGTTTTCCTCCTCCCTATATAATCACCTCCCTGTATAGTCAGGACATTACTTTTGGCTTCTCTATTGGCTACTTTTCTAACATAAAATATTTTTTTAACTTGAATTTATTGTTCCATTAAATATACCTAGTATCCGTTGACTCTCTCTCTTTTTTTTTTTTTTTTTTTTTGAGACGGAGTCTCGCTGTGTCGCCCAGGCTGGAGTGCAGTGGCCAGATCTCAGCTCACTGCAAGCTCCGCCTCCCGGGTTTACGCCATTCTCCTGCCTCAGCCTCCCGAGTAGCTGGGACTACAGGCGCCCGCCACCTCGCCCAGCTAGTTTTTTGTATTTTTTAGTAGAGACGGGGTTTCACCGTGTTAGCCAGGATGGTCTTGATCTCCTGACCTCGTGATCCACCCGTCTCGGCCTCCCAAAGTGCTGGGATTACAGGCTTGAGCCACCGCGCCTGGCCATGACTCTCTTTTTGTAAGTCTTGGCTAAGGAACTTCTTTTTAAAAAATACATTTTTAGGCCGGGCGCCGGCGCGGTGGCTCACGCCTGTAATCCCAGCACTTTGGGAGGCCGAGGCCGGGAGATCACCTGAGGTCAGGAGTTAAAGACTAGCCTGACCAAGATGAAACCCCATCTCTACTAAAAGTTCAAAAATTAGCCTGGCATGGTGGTGGGTGCCTGTAATCCCAGCTACTCAGGAGGCTGAGGAAGGAGAATCGCTTGAACCCTGGAGGTGGAGGTTGCAGTGAGCCAAGATTGCGCCATTTGCACTCCAGCCTGGGTGATAAGAGCGAGACTCTGTCTCAAAAAAAATACACACACACACACACACACACACACACACACACATATATATGTATTTGAGACCCCATCTCAGTCAAATCAAATCAAATCAAAACTGTGTTGCCCAGGCTGGAGTGCCGTGTCTTAATCATGGCTCACTGCAGCCTCGACCTCCTGGGCTCAAGAGATCCTCCCACCTCAGCCTCCTGAGTAACTAGGGCTACAGGTACATGCCCCCAAACCCCACTACTTTGTGTATTTTTTGTGGATACGGTTTTGCCATGTTACCCAGGCTGGTCTCGAATTCCTGGGCTCAAGCCATCCACTCATCTTGGCCATCAAAAGTCCTGGGATTACACGTGTGAGCCACCGGCGCCCAGACAAAAAGATAAATTTTTAAAATAACATTTTTGTATTTATGTAAATATTAATTTCTTCAATTCCAATCAAGTTCTACATATGGCTTACAAATCAGATAGAAAAGCTTGCCTTAATTTTTTTCTATAATAAAAGTAATAGAATCTCTTTTAGAAAAATGGAAAACGAAGTGTTTTAGATTAAAAGAGATGAAACCTGCCACCCCCAATGGTGTTTGAGCCCCCATGGGGATCTTGTTAGGAGGAAGCAACCACAGAAGACCTGCTAGAGACAGTAGGGGAAATTGTTCACGGAGTGGGTGTTGACGGCAGAATGGATTTTTTTTTTTTTTTTTTTTTTATTTATTTTTTTATATTTTTTATTTTTTTTGAGACGAGTCTTGCTCTGTCGCCCAGGCTGGAGTGCAGTGGCGGCAATCTTGGCTTACTGCAAGCTCCGTCTCCTGGGTTCATGCCATTCTCCTGCCTCAGCCTCCCATGTAGCTGGGACTACAGGCGCCCACCACCGCACCTGGCTAATTTTTTGTATTTTTAGTAAAGACGGGTTTCACCGTGTTAAGGCCCCCAGGGATGGTTCTCCGAATCTCCTGACCTTTGTGATTCTGCCCGTTCGGCCTCCAAAAGGCTGGATTACAGAGCGGTAGCCACCGCGCCCGGCCTCGAAATGGATTTTTGAGATAGAGAATCTCATTTCTGTCGCCCAGGGCTTAAGAGTTGCAGTTGGCACATCTCGGCTCACTGCAACCTCCACCTCCTGGGTTCAAGCGATTCTCCTGCCTCAGCCTCCTGAGTAGCTGGGATTACAGGCATGTGCCACCACGCCCAGCTAATTTTTTTGGTAATTTTAGTAGAGATGGGGTTTCACCATATTGGTCAGCCTGGTCTCGAACTCCTGACCTCTTGATCCACCAGCCTTGGCCTCCCAAAGTGCTGGAATTACAAGCGTGAGCCACCACACCCGGCCAGGTTGCCCTTAATCTTAAGAGATTCATTAGGAAGTACTGAAGAGTAGTTCATCAAGGCCGCCAGGTGCGGTGACTTACGCCTGTAATCCCAGCACTTTGGGAGGCCGAGGAGTTCGAGACCAGCCTGGCCAACAGAGTGAAACCCTGCCTCTACAAAAATAAAAATTTAGCAGGGCATGATGGCAGGTACCTGTAATCCCAGCTACTCCGGAGGCTAAGGCGGGAGAATTGCTTGAACCCGGGAGGTGGAGGTTGCAGTGAGCCAAGATCACACCATTACACACCAGCCTGGGTGACAAGAGTGAAACACTGTCCAAAAAAAAGAGAGGCAAAATGTGGAGCGTATAGCAATGTTCATTTGATTACTCTTTCAACTTGTCTATATAATGAAATTTCTTTTTTTTTGTTTTTTTTTTGAGACGGAGTCTTGCTCTGTTGCCCAGGCTGGAGTGCAGTGGCCGGATCTCAGCTCACTGCAAGCTCCGCCTCCCAGGTTTACGCCGTTCTCCTGCCTCAGCCTCCCGAGTAGCTGGGACTATAGGCACCCGCCACCACGCCCGGCTAGTTTTTTTTTGTATTTTTTTAGTAGAGACAGGATTTCACCGTGTTAGCCAGGATGGTCTTGATCTTCTGACCTCATGATCTGCCCGTCTCGGCCTCCCAAAGTGCTGAGATTACAGGCTCAAGCCACCGCGCCCGGCTATAATGAAATTTCATAGTAAAAATTGAGAGAAAATAAAGTAAGATGATTTTGAAACAAAGAAAGAGACAGAAGACATGTATACAGTAGCACAGACTATGGAGTCCTGTATACCCCCCAGCAGGTTTTTTTTTTTTCTTTGAAATGGGGTCTCACTCTGTCGCCCAGGCTGCAGTGCAGTGGCACAATCACAGCTCACTGCAGCCTTCACCTCCTGGGTTCAAGCAATTCTCCTGCCTCAGCCTCCTGAGTAACTGGGATTACAGGTGTGCGCCACCACACCCGGCAAATTTTTGTATTTTTAGTGGAGATGGGGTTTCACTATGTTGGCCAGGCTGGTTTCGAACTCCTGACCTCAGGTGATCCACCTGCCTTGGCCTCCCAAAGTGCTGGGGATAACAAGAGTGAGCGAGCCACTGTGCCTGGCTCAGTTTTTTTGTTTTTTGTTTTTTTTTTCTTTTTTTCTATTATTCTTTTCCCTTGGTCCCACCTTACAAAACCCACCATTCTCTTACTACCCAGTGGGGGTCTCAGTCTGTTTTGTAGAATGGAGGCTGCCCCATTCAGGAATCTTGAATAAAAACCCATTAGATCTATAACTAAATTTGTTGTAATTTTGTCTTTTGACGTGGCTCTGTTGCTTCTTTGCTGGGTGACCTTGGGCATGTTGCTTTCATCCTCCAAGCCTCAGTTTCCCCATGTGCCTACTTCATGGGATGGTTTGAGGCTTCTGTGAGATTTTGTAAAGCAATTCCCACATGCCTAGAGCAAAATAAGTGCTCAGTTAACAGTAGCTGTTAGTATTTTGTGAAGGTATTTCCTTAACTATTATAGCCTGTTCACCTATGACTGACACTGTTATAGGCTGCAGCTGAGCCCTTTCTTTCTCTTTTCTTCTTTTTGTTTTTTAATTGAGACAGGGTTTCATTCTCACCCAGACTGGAGTGCAGTGGCACAGTCTTGGCTCACTGCAACCTCAACTTCCTGGGCTCAAGTGATCCTCCCACCTCAGCCTCCCGAGTAGCTGGGACCACAAGCGCACACCACCATGCCTGGCTAATTGTTAAATTTTGTTTGTAGAGACAGGAGTCTCACTATGTTACCCAGGCTGGTCTCAAACTCTTGGGCTCAAACCATCCTCCTGCCTTGGCCTCCCAAAGTGCTGGGATTACAG